ATATCCCATTTTGTAAAATAAATTTAGGTTATTTTTTTGCCATTGCCTTAAGGCTAAAACACCATGAAGTTAAATCTTTACCATTTCTGTATCTCATGCCTCAGTATAAGAAGAACTTGATAATCTTATTTCTGTATTCTCTTATGATGCCAATTCTGATATTTTAGAGCCTGAAAAAGGAGCACTAACAATAATCACACCAAGATAACAGGTGTAAAGACCATCTCTGCTAAGCTCAATCATGTGCACTATACAAATGGTTTTCGTGGTATGTACAAAAAGTCAACACTAATTATCTTAAATATAGTAAAAGTGCTTTATTTAGTAATGTACCTGAGAAGCCCAGAGATGGAATGAATTTATTATGCTATTTGATCTGGGAGGTAGCATATTTTTTTCTATATTACCATGTATCTGCCTACTTCTGTATCAGACTGGATTATATTATGATGGCTTAATGACTACAGTAGTTCTGGATCTTACTTCTGCATCTAAAATATCCTAATTCTCAAGTATAAGGAGGGATGGGGAAGCCATTGGATTCACTCCACTTGGCCAATTAGAGTCATCCAGGCAGTGAGAGAAATGGACTTACATTGAGCTTCCAGGCATACTCCTGTGGAGGGTCAATCTTGCCATTTTTCATTCAGAGGCTATTTCACATTGATAATGAGGGGTGCTGAGAAAATACTCCCTATGCTAACTTACTCTCATTAGCAGATTTTTCTGGAACTTCCTGAACCCAGGCCCCCTTTCTTCCCATTGCTCACCGAGAGGAGGCTAATGGTTGAATTCTTATACTTCTTAGTGGATTAAAAAAAAAATCAAACTTTTTTTTTTTAAAGATGGGATCAGGGTAAAGGAAATGGCAACTTTTTTACTTTTATAAAGTTGTCCTTTTTTTCTCCTTCATTAATCAACCTGTAGAAGGAAATCAGAAATGTAAAATCACTGCCTCAAAACCCTGTTTTTTGTTTAATCAATTTGATCTTGATGAAACTGGAATCCTTATACATATGACCAATATTGCATAGCAATCTCCTATTTGCTGATTTCAGGAAAACTTCATACCTGATAATAAATTTTTTCTCTCATTGTATTTAAATTAGAATGTGGTGGACAAAGTTTCTCTTTCATGTACAAACTGACTTACAGTTATTAAGATGCTTAATTTATTCAGTTGTTATTTTATTGAACTTTAAAATAGGTAATGATTACTTCTAATTTATAAAAAATGACATCAACTATCTTGCCTAAAGTAACTAATTTTATCATCAATTGATTTAATTTTATAGTTAAGATAAAATAAGCTATAATTGTAGCTTTCTCAAATACATCAAAATTATATAACATTTATTTTTTAAAAACTAAGCAAGCATATAAAGAAAATGGCAAATCTCAATAGTGAGTACTCTACTATCTGTAGCTTCCAGCTGAAAAATACATGTAGATTCTAATAGATGAATTTTGAGTAAAATATCAAATACAAATTTGGGGACTTTAATTGATGAGGTGTATAAATTATAAAATCTCTTTAATTTTATATGAACAGTCTCTGGAAATTTAGGTATTAAAGATGAAATTTTAAAATGATACATAATATAGATTTTGGCTATTTCTGGGATATCACATTTGTTTCTATTGATATGTATGAAGTAGTGATGTGTGCTGGGCACAGTGCTAGATATTGGTTGTGGACTTTAATAAAAATAGTTTTGTCATCTGGAAATTTATAGTGGAGTAGGAAAGAAAGATCAACCCATATATTATGACCAAGAGTTGAGACTCCTTTCTTTTTGCCGAGTTTTTAGTATTACTAGCTTTTTCTTTTGACAATCAACTTATAACATTAGAATAGAGAAGGAAATGGATGATTTATCTTTCTTTATGAATTATTTATTATCCAGAAACACCTTTTTTGTGTTATCTTTATTATGCATTTTCAATTATTATAATTTTCATTGTTTATGATCCTTTTATTTCTACTCTCTTTTGGCTTCAAAGGGACTAACAGATTGGCAAATATTAGAAAATTATTTTAATTGTAATGCTAAGCTTATTGAATACATATGAATATACAATGATTCTATGTAGTTGAATTATATGTGCATATACATAATCAACTGTTTTATTGTATTTGCTTTATTAACTTGCCTTTATTTTTTTTTTCCCTATTTTTGTTTCATTTTAGTTTTTAATACTTATACCTTAAGGGGTTATACAGGATAATATGAAATGATGTATACTTAGAATTTAAAAAATTTAGTTTTTGTGAACATTTTTATTTTCTATGCTAAATTTATCTATGATGATTAATTCATTAATGTTTAGAAAACATTGAATGGAGTATCTTGGAAATATTGTAATGATTTGACTACATGCAGTAGTTTTATTTTATTGGTGTTTCTTTGTGCAGACTGTTATTGACTATAGGAAAGAAGCTATTTAATAAAATAGTTACAAAATATGATCTATCTCATTCCTAAAATACCAGTAAGTTATATCTTTGGAAAAATGATATTTTTAAATAGTAGGGCTATAAATGCAGATTCTTAATTTGGTAGAACTTACCGTTTGTTGCTTTTCCCCCCCCCATTTTTATTATAAAAGTAGTAGTTGAGATTTATATAAATCATATGTGTTTGTTGGCAAACCTCACTGCACTTTGAGATGAATTTTAAGGAATAGCAATTTAACTTAGGAAACTTACAATGCTTAGTACAAATAAGGCTTAGCCTTTTAGTCTATGAATTATGCTTACAGTTTATCAGAATTGTGAGTTATAAAGAAAAGAAAAAATGGTTAATATTTAAGTATATACTTTTATCTATGAGCTTTTTTGGTTGGAGATATAAAAATAGATTCAAATCTTTTAATAACCACTTAGTTTTCAAGATTATATATGAAAGAGTAAACATTGCTGTATTTGTAAATAGTGCCTTGAGATATAAAGCATTTGCTTTGAGACAAAATGAGGTAAATGTTAATAAATCTGATGAAAAAAAATTAACTTATTAGAAATATTAGTTAAACAAACAGAAAAATCCTTGATATAAGCTACTGCTATGTGTAGATTGTTGGAAGAAAATTTAAGGAGTAGGAAAATATCTCATTTTCATTTAAAATTTTAAAATATATTAATTTAGAGAGATAGGAAAAAGAGAGCAAGAGAGAGAGAGAGGGAGAGAGAGAGAGAGAGAGATTTGTTGTTTGACTTATTCATGCATTTATTGGTTGATTCTTATATGTGCCCTAACCAGGGTTCAAACTCTCAACCTTGCCATTTCAGGACAATACTCTAAGTGACCTAGCTACCAGGCCGGGGCTCATTTTTAAAAGAAAGCTTTGAAAACAATTCATTAATTTAATTTTAATAGTAAATTATCATTATTTTCTATAGGGAAGATATCATCTAACTTGATAGGTCTTTTGTCTTCTTAGGAGATATACTGGTGCTAAATTATGTGCATAAGAGGCGTTATTGATCATTTCATATATGTTAATATAGCCAACAGCAGTATCAAAAATTAGCATCCAATTTAAAAGAGAATGTATTTCTATTTAGGTTACTTACTGCTGAGGACCAGGTTAGGCACACATTTAGGTACCTAAAGCATATTTTACTAATATGATGATCTTCCCCATAATGTGTACTGGGCATTGTCAAGGACATTATATATGTCTTTACCTTGTCTCCCTATTTCTAGGTTAGAAAATTAAAAAAAAAAAAATACTTACCAAACTGATTGTTAAAACAGCTGTTTTTATGAGGATGAAAACACTGCTTTAAGAATCATTCATAAACTTGTTAAAATTATTTTGGGTGCTTTAACAATCAAAAAAGTTATTCTTTAACCTTAATAACATCACCCTTCTAATATATGACTCTTGACATCATCTTTCAAATTCAAGGAGTTTCTTAGAACGGTACTCTTAAATTGCATTTTACCAGAGTTCAATCATGTATTTTGACTAACATAATGCTAAGTGAAAAGTTGTGGCAGTTAGTGTACGTGCTAGTACTCTAATTGCCATTGAAGACTGGAGGAAAAAAGGAATAACTTGCCATCTGAACAGCTTTATGCCCAATGGAAGATGTATTCATTTCTAATAATAGAAATAAAGAAATCATCATAAATTTAGCTGTTTAAAACTCACTTTATTTCATCTTAGCTCTATAGGTCAGCAGTCTGGGCATCCTGTGACTGGGTTCTTGCTCAGAGTTGCAGGAGGCTAAATGAAAGTGTCGGCCAGACCTGGTTCTTTCTGGGGGCCGTGGAGGAGCCTGCTTCCAAGTTTCTCCAGGTTCCTGAGGTGTTAGGACAGAGATCCCCTTTCCCTGCTAGTGGTCAGTCTTAGACTGTGTTCTGCTTTTGGAGGTTTCCCACAACCCTTGGTGTGTCACCTCCTCTGTGTTCATTGCCAGTAATAAATAATCAACCTGCTGTTGAATTTCTCTTAACCTTTGAATTTCTCTGAATTCATAGTGGGCCCGGCTTATTTTAGGGTTCACCCTATTAGGTGAGGCTCAGGCAGATAATTCACATTTTGATGAACTCAAGGTTATCATGATTAGGGGGAGTTCCTTCATAATTTGTATTTTTAAAACTAGTTATATCACATTTATTGGTGTTGTTCTAATATGACTCGTATTTGATAAGTTCTTGGAGATTAGGGTTTTAATTTTATTGCAATTTTAGGAATCCAAGAGCATTCATTGTTTGAAATTTTGGTAATTAGATTAAAATGACCAATTTGCTTTGTTCTTTGAAGTATACCTACACACAAGTTTTTACTAAATACCGTTAAAAATAATCTTTTTTTTTGTTTTTTTTTCTGGTTAAATTCTGAAGAGAGGAGTACTTAATTTATATTGTGTGAAGCATATCCAACACAAGTTTGGGTAAAATGTGGATGATTAAAAGAACATTTATCTTGAAATCGGTAATTTTTTAAATGTCTGTTCTCAATGTAAATCTATACCTATGTTTTTGTTTTAGGAGTACAAGCTCCCCAGCATGAGAGAATTATTACTGTGTCTGCTAATGGAAGTATTCACAGCCCAAAGTTTCCTCACACTTATCCAAGAAATATGGTCTTGGTATGGAGATTAGTAGCAGCAGAAGAAAATGTATGGATACAACTTACATTTGATGAAAGATTTGGGCTTGAAGAACCAGAAGATGACATATGCAAGTAAGTTATCATACTTGAAATTCCAACAGATTGTAACAACAGTTATAGTCTTTCAAGTTGCTTCATTTTGATGATGTGATTTTAAATGGCGTCTTTTGTTCTGTTATATTTTCCTGGAGATCTGAGAAATTTAAAGCCTTATTTAAGCTATGTTTCATTTAAAATTAGAAGACACATACATACAAATACATGGTCAGTAGATTTTATTCTACTTGTGAACATAATTTGAGAAAATTTCAGGCAAAAACTACATATAGAGTAAAACTGTCAAATAAGGAATTAAGAATAAAAAGCCAAGTGAAGGACTACAGTTGTGCCAGAAAAGTTGTTACCATTAGTGCTGAAAATTTTACATTGGAGCTTCCTGATTGTCAATCAAGAAAATAAAGAACAAATCATTAAAAGTAAATGCAGTCCGTGGGTACACATTACCCATCATACTTAGTATTCATAAATACACATATGGATGCATTCCTACACATAGGACCAAGAAGTTTTAATATTTCATCACAAAAATTATGGATCAGTAAGCAGAATTAGAAATTCAGGTAACCTTATGGTTTGGCCCATAGAAACATCATAATTCTCCTAGATGCATTCATGAACCAAAGTCAGCTGGAGTATTTCACCCACGCAAAAGACCACCTACTGTATGTCATACAAATATTACTCTTTAAATCCTATGTGAATACACTTGTCAAGGTTGGGTGGTCTTATTAAAGATTTTTCACTTCAGTGGCATTTGTATATCATAAAAATATTTTACTTGAACTTTCTTGCAGGGTTCTTTATTTTTTCTTTGATATACAAGTTAAAAGAGAATTTTCATTTTATGATGTATTACAGATAAAAATTTCAATGCAGATGAAATAAACTTGGTACTTGTTGTCATCACAATTTGTATCTTTAACATTTACATGGTTAGATTTTTTTTCACATTTCTGCATTCTGCAACATTGCATGTCATATTATTTTTTCTTACATCTATAATCTTAGACTTTGAGAATAGAAGCTGTCCTGGCTACCTATAGAGTTATGAGGAAGTGTCTTCCCTATATATCATTCATATTTTATACCTACACCAATGCTAAAACCCATTTTCCTACCACCCATCTTAGTTTTTCGCCATGCTATAAACCATACCACTTGTATTCTTTGCATAGATAGGATGTCTTAATATCATCAAAAGATGTGAAAAGTTTAAGATATTGTACCATTCCAAAGTAGCCAGTTAGCCTACCACAAGTTCATGTATGCCAATAGACGATAAGAGCCTCTTGGACCAGAGACAAAGGACTTGTTACAATAGTAGCAGTAGCCAGAGTATTGGCACTTTCTTGTGCCTCTTCCTCTAATTCCAGTTCCAACAGGTCAATGCCAAGAGAGCTACATGATACCTGCATGGGAGAGGGATTATTATATATGTGTATATGTATATAATGTATGTTAATAATACGATATATCGTAATAAAAGACTAATATGCAAATTGACTGCACAAGATGGCTGGACCGTGTGGTCAAAGATGGCCGCTCCCATGTGGACACAAGATGGCTGCCACAAGTTGGCCAGCAGAAGAGGGCAATTGGGAGGGACCAGACCAGCAGGGGAGGGCAGTTGGGGGTAAGACCAGACCTACATGGGAAGACAGTTGGGGGCATGCAGGGGAGGGCAATTATGGGCGACCAAGCCAGAAGGAGAGGGCAGTTAGGGATGACCATGAGGGCAGAGGAGGGCAGTTAAGAACAATTGGGTTTGCAGGAGACCAGTTAGGCGTCCATTAGGCTGGCAGGCAGAAGTAGTTAGGGGCAATCAGGCAGGCAGGCAGGCAGGCAGGCAAGCAGGCGAGTAGTTGAGAGCCAGCAGTCCTGGATTGTGAGAGGGATGTCCTATTGCTCATTTAGGCCCAATCCCTGAAGGAGTCCCAGATTCATGCACAGGAGGAAGGAGGGAGGTTGTCCCTCAGCCCAGCCTGCACCCTCTCCAATCTCTATTTAAATAATAATAATTGAACTATCATTCAGCATGTCTAACTCAGATAGTATGAGACTCAACTTAAAATGTGACTTTTTCAATAATAGTTCTGAAGTCCCTTATGGTTTTTTTTTCCTGATTACCCTTCTATCCCTTCATTTCTAATCAATGTCTTTAGCTTTTATCACTTCATGTCTTGATTTTCTCTATAATTTTATGCATATATTTCCATATATATTGTCCTATAAATAGTAAATTATTTTTTGCCTGTTTTGAAAAATATATTAATGGGATAATTTTGAGTGTTTACTTTGGTTATTTGCTATGCATTTCAAAACAAGCAAAACAAAACAATATGATATTTTTAAAGCTAGCTCATGTCAATGCAGATAGGTTCGATAATTTGTTTATCTTAATAAATAGTCTGTTTCTAATGGCTACCTAGGAATGCATATTAACTTAAATATCTAAAACCAATAAATGTTTACTTCCTTCCCAAAATATAAAATTATCTGAGAATATTTTAACTACTATGAATGCTAACTCCACAGATATCACCACACTATATTGATAAGATAGAGCTGAGTTTATTACTTACCTTGGTGACAGAGAAGACCATGATAACAGTTTTAATAGACTCTGGGGAGGAAAAGCAAAGCCCAAATGGACCTTTCAATATGGACTCTTGGTTAAGATGGGTAAGGTATCAGGATTAAATAGTTTACAATTGGTGGAAACAAGGAAGGGTATTTCAGGGAAGAGTTTTATCAATGTTAATACTTTCAGTTGAAGAAGTTAACGGTTCCTTTGGGAAGTTCATGTAATAAAGAGTAAAGTTAATTGCCTGGGCAATAATGATGACAATAAAATAGTAATGTCATGTAATTGCAAAGAGAACACCGGTGGGTGTGTTTGTCCTATCGTCCAAGCTGGTTAACTATAGTTAACCCACTTCTCAATAGTATGCATATGATAATTATTATGGGTTTTAGTTTTGTATTTTTTAACTTCACAAACAAGACATTGTTTTTATTATTTCATGTAATCTACAAGTGATCAAAAATTACTAGTTTTCCTTAAAATAAAATAGAAACATTTTGAACATTTTCATCTTTTCCTGCAGTTTATAATAGAATTAATGTGGCATTATTTGCTCACTTATTTACTCTTACATTCAACAAGCACTTCTTGAGCATGAGCACTGTGGTAGGTAATAGGATGACAATAGTGAGTAGGAAATGGCTCAGACCCTTATGTAGCTTAGTCTGGGTAAGGCTTCAGACAGACAAGTAAACAGTCAAACAAAACAAAATGCCACCAGTCCCAAGATATAGTAAATACGGAGAACAGTTATTACTGTAACTGATTATAGTTAGATAGCTTTGTTGACCATTTTCTAGCTCATATCATAACTGTGTATCTTACTTGTAGCAGTGTCTAAATAATTGTTATGAATTTATCATGGAGAATTGTGTGAGGATGAATGTACCCTGCCAAGCAGACCTCAAAAATTCAAATATTCACTGTCCTTGGTTTGCTCTAGTAGATATAGCTCTCAAGGATAATATAGGTTTCTTACATCAATTTTACATTGCCAGAATAGGCTGTGGGTGATAAAATTATAAGGAAATAATTATATTTTGCCAACAACATAAAGTATTCCTTAGCTGCATGACCAATTGAAATAAAGAAAGACAATATTGTTTACTTAGCTAATAATGACCTTGGAAATTGCCAGTTTCAATAATTTGATATCAGAAATATTTCTAGCCCTAGGAGATGTTGCTCAGTGGATAGGGCATTGACCTGAGAACCAAAGGGTCTTGGGTTTGATTCCATTCAAGGGCATGTATCTTGGTTGTAGGCTCCTTCCCAGCCTGGGCCCTGGTCAGGGCTCCTGCAGGAGGCAACCAATTGATGTTTTTCTCTCACATCGATATTTCTCTCGTCTTTCCCTCTCTATTTCCATCTCTCTAAAAAATCAATGGAAAACTATCCTCAGGTGAAGATTAATTAAAAATTAATATTTCTATTAGACAACCCAAAGAATAACTTAGAATGATAAATAGTCATTACTTATAGAGGCCAGGGTTAGTCTGGATTTCTATGAGCTTTGAGAAAATCAGATGATACAGACCTATATTACATCATGTCTACAAGTCTAGGCATATTACAATTCTGCTACAGCTGTGCCTTAACAAAATATTTTCCTAATAAATTGTGGCATAAATTTAAAAATAGTGAGGTTTATACCAGAAAGTGTAACTGTAAGACTCTGTTTCAGTTGACCACAAATAATTAGCCAATGACTGGAACAATCTTGAAAAGAAAATATTTGGATTATGTTACTAAAAATTTCAAGATTAGTCTTTATCCAGATTCTGATCAATGCCATTCTGTCACTTTTGCTCCACTGCTATAGACTTGCTTTCCTGTGGTTGACTCCATTCTCAGTCAGTCTTTCTTCACATACCAGAAGAGAAAGGCCCAGAAGTACCAAGATTTTAACACTTACAATTTTGAAGGAAGCAGGGACTCTTCATGTAAAAGTTCTTAGAAGAATTATGATTGGTCTGTTGTTGTTTTTTAAATATATTTTTATTGATTTCAGAGAGGAAAGGAGAGGGAGAGAGAGATCACTGATGAGAGAGAATCATTGATTGGCTGCCTTCTGCACATGCCTGCTTCTGGGGATCAAGCCCGCAACCTGGACATGTGCCCTTGACGGGAATTGAACCTAAGACCCTTCAGTCCCCAGACCGATGCTCTATCCACTGAACCAAACCAGCCAGGGCTGATTGGTCTGTTTTGAACTCAGTATCCATCCCTGGACCAGTTACCATAGTGGGGGATAGGGTCATGTGTTACTATGCTTTTCAAGATTTGTGTCTTGTGCCCATCCCTAAGCCAAGTAATGAACTCTGATTGGTGGAGACATTGTCTCTGAAAGCAGAAAACTATTTTATTTTATTTTTTTTACCCATGGGTAAGAGGAAGAAGTGGAGGTGGTATAAAAATAACAATCTCT